TCTGTGGAGGAAGGAAGGGAAGATGGAAGGGGCATGTATGGCTATAAAAGGGAAGCAAGGGATCCCTGTGGTGAAGCAGTGTTCTGTATCTTGATTATCTACATGAGTGATAATCCACAGAGAACTGAGAATTCACACAATGACCGTATGCAAAAATGACGGAGGGAGTAAGTTTTGTGAATTGTACTAGTGTCAGTTTCCTGGTTCTGTACTGTACTATAGTTACCACTGGAGGAAACTTGAAAGGCACACGACGAGACCTTTCTGTTTTTTCCAAAACAGCTTTATTCAGTTATAATTCACATTCTATGCAATCTACCCACTTGAAGCATCTAATTCAATGACGTTAGTATATTTGCAGAGCTGCAAAACTGTCACAAGTCAATTCAGAACATTTTATCTAATCAAAAAGAAATTTTTAGGACTAGGGAGATGGAGCAGTTGATAAAGTGCTTGCTATGCAAGCAGGAGGATTTGAGTTGGGATCCCCAACACCCATATAAAAAGCTGGGGATCCCAATGTTGAGAAGACAGAGACAGAAGGATTTCTGGTGCTTGCTGACTAGCCAGTCTAGCTGAATCAGTGATTTCGAGATTCAGTTAAGAGACCTTACCTCAAAAAATAAGCTAGAGAGTGACTGAGGAAGATATCTGATGTCAAAACTTTGGCCTCCATACATCCACATAAATTTGCGCGCGCGTGCACACACACACAGATGCACACACTCACACACACAGATGCACACACTCACACACACACATGCACATACAACACACCTCTTCCTTTTAGCTATTAATTCTCTATTTTCCACACCACACCTCCTGTAAGCTAATTTATGTCATGTTATGTAAATGAAACCATAGAGTCTAAACATGTCATATAAATGAACTCATACAGTTTATGGTCTTTTGTGACTGATGTCTTCCACTTAGGGTGTTATTTACAAAATTCATCCACAATGCTGCATTTAATTGGCACTTCAATCTCTTCTCAGGCTGCATGTATTTCTCGTGCTTTGTAGAGCTGAAACATACATTTTTAACCATTTACCGGTTAATGGATAATAGAGAAGTTTCTACAGTTTGGCTAAAGGCTGCTATAAACATACATGTACAAATTTTAGTGTGTACACATATTTTCAATTTTCTTCAGTACATACATGAAGGAGTGGAAATTTTGGCTGTACAGTGTCGCTATATTTAATTAGTCAGCATACTGTTTTCTAAAGTGATGATACCATTTTATTTACCCAGCTATAGCATATCAGGGTAGCAATTTCTCCATTTCCTGACAACATCCATTATTACCAGGCATCTTGATTTCATATTATTTTACAGCTTCCTGTGTATCTATAATTATTTCAAAATACAAAGTTTAAGCATGATTCAGTCTTATTATACCTTATCACATTTTGTTATGAAATAATCATAGAAATAATTTTATTCTTTGATTTCTTAAATTATTTTGTTTATATTTTTATATCTTATTACATTTCTTGTTGACTTCCAGACAGAATTAAAAGGGACTGAGACAGTGAGCACAAATTTCTCTGGTAAGAACCAGATGCTATAGATGACATATTTGAAATATGATTCTTTAGTGTGCTGAACAAATGCATTTATATTCCAATTTTAAATCATTCTAAGGAGCAACTGTTCACATTTCTAAAAACGATTTATGTATGTGTGTATGTGCCCATGTGTGTTTATGTGGACCATGTGATACAGGTACCACTGGAGACCAAAAGAGAGCATTGAATCCCCTGGAAGTGGAGTTACAGGCAGTTGTGAGCTGAGCCCAGGTCCTCTGCAAAAGCACTAAGGGCTCTTAACTTCTGAGAAACCTCTCCAAGCAAATAATTAGAGGCTTTATGTAAAACAATCATGATATCATTTTATTTAATCTAACTGATTTGATTTTCACTAAGGATTCACTAAGTCATACCAGTAAAATCAAATGTGAGTTCTCACCCATATCACTTTTAAAAAAAAGGAAACTACTATTAGATTATACTTAGCAGAAACAAATACAAACTGGAAAAAAACAAAACAAAACAAACTGCAACAACTAGGGCTGGAGATTTGGCTCACTGGTTAAGTGCACTGGCTGGTCTTACAGAGGACCCAGGTTCAGTTCCCAGGACCTACTATCCATCCGTAGGTGGTAACAACCACCCGTAACTCTAGTTCCAGGGGATCTAATGCTCTCTTCTGACCTTTGTGGGCATTGTACATATACGGTGCACTTACATACAGGCAAGCAAAACATTCATGCACAGAAATTAAAAAAATAAATAAAAACCCTAACTGGGATCATGAGCAAAATTAAAAGGGACAAGGTGCTATTAACATTGAATAGAGTGAAAACGTTTAATTAATGGAAATGTGTACATAAATGTTGTAGGCGCTACCTGCTTCTTTTATTCTTTTTTCTTCAAACAGATAAAATTTAAAGAAAAGAAGGAAAGAAAGGAAGGAAGGAAGGGAGGGGAAAGAAAAGGAAGGAATAAAGATGAGAAATTTCTATTACTTTCTTGTTTTGACTTAAATAATATAAAAGGAGATTTATACAAATCTCTGATGCCTTATGCTTTGCCACCTTATGCGCTGCCTCTAATTATCCTACTGGCCAGTAGACTTTATCCTGTCTTTGCAGAAAAAATTTTTTCTTGTTTGCTGTGTGATGCTCTTTCTATGTACATACAACTTTCTCTGTGGTATTACTCTAAATGTACAACTATATGCAGCAGGCACATTCTTTCAGCACATCAAGGAAGATAACTCTGCAAGAAATCTGCTGTTAATGGAAGATAAGGTGAATGCCAGAGAGGAATTTCATACAGGCTGGGGATCAGTGGTTCAATTGCTTGTAATTCAACTCTGAGGACTGGATTTTGGTCTCTCAGTAGCAAATGCCAGGGGGTGTAGTAGCCCCCGTCATCTCAGTATTCAGGTGACAGCTACCTAGGATCTCTGGGGGCAAACTGGCTAGCTAGACTCATTCTATTGGTTAGCTTTGGGTTCAACTGAGGGATGCTATCTCAGTGAATAAGGTATAGAGCAATGGTCTCAGTGAGATACCCTTTGGGAGTGCAATGAACAGCACTCCCAAACAAGCATACCTTCTGCCCTGTGCTCATGTCTGGGTGGGAGTTAGGATGATGGAGGAGAGGACCACCTCTCAAGCAGGGCTGCCTGCTGTGCAGGCAGCACAACCAGTAGTTGGAACCAGGTGAATCAGAGAGCTCCAAATTCAAGTCCCTGCTCTATCAGTTATTGGCTGCTGTAGCCCTTGGTGAGACACTGGATCACTCTGGGCCTGCTTCCTCATTTAAACTTCTTAAAAATTTATTTTTATTTTATGTGTATGAGTGTTATGCCTGCATGTATGTGTGTCCATGTTGTACAGTGCCTGTGGAGGATAGAAGAGAGTGTGGGATCCCCTAGAACTGGAGTTATGAATGGTTGTTAACCATCATGTGGGTGCTGGGATTTGAACCTGGGTCTTCTGCAAGAATAGCCCATGATCTTAACCACTGAGCCATCTCTCCAGTCCTGTTTCTTTATTTAAAGAAGGTAATAGTAATGGTTTCTTTTAATGGGTAATAATGGATTTCAATGACAAAGGCTTGGCATGTAACTGTCTAGTAAATATTATTAGTTATTATTAATATTGGTAAATGGAGTCATTATTACATCAATGGCATGGGCTATATGAGTCTTCATTTAAAAAAATAAATTAAGATAACATAACTGGCTTAGGCCTCCTTTATTGGCAAGAATCCCAGTGTTTCTTGGGAAATCTGAGCGCTGTTTGGTTATTACTAGTTGGGAAGAATTATATGCTTCTATGAGGTGTGACATCTTTATCTTTCTGTCCCACCAAAGGAAACCAGTTGATCCATGGCGGGGGTGGGGGTGGGGTGTCAAGAAAAGCACCCTATAGCAGGTGAGATGACTCAGCGAATAAAGGCACCTGCTGCCAAGCCTAATGACCTGAGTTTAATTCCAAGGTCCCATGTGGTGAAAGGAGAAAAGCAACTCCTGAGAATTGTTCTCTGCCCTCCATAAGTGTCATTGTGTACCTGAGTAGACACCCCCCCACACACACACAATTTCAAAATATAGCAAAAAAGCAAAGAGAGAACCCTAGACAATATGAGAACTTTCTTTTTTTGCAGTTTACTTTAGCTGTGGGGAGAAAAACCTCTTTTTTGGCGAGTTTGACAAACTTGTCCTTGGCTATTCCACTCATCTCACTAAAACCGTGGAGAGAAAACCCACCCTGCCTCTGGCCTGCCCACTTCAGTCCCTGAAAGTAGCTACAACACTGGGCTCCATCCCCACTTGTCACTAGCAACACAAGAGCCCTCACCCCAGCATATAGCTTTCTCTAGGGTCAGTGGCAGGAGGCAGATGGCCTAATGTCACAGAAAACAAGTAGAAATCAGTGAAACCCACTAACTGAATGACAAACAGGTGAGATTACAAAAATGCAAATAGACAGGTTTGTCAGTTAACAGAAGAAGGTACTGGGGGAGGACCTATTTCAGCTTATTCAAGACTGAATTTCCAAAACACATCCTTTTTGTTTTGAAAGAATACAATTCCCACAAAACAGGCCCAAAGGCCACCCAAATCCCATGACCCATCTTAAGATGTACAAATTAAGCATTACATATATGACATGAAATCAATTGGTTGTCAGTGATCAATCACATTCACTTGGTCTAGAGGACTCTGAGGGTGTTCAGTCAGTGGTTCTCAGAAGATGACAGAACAGTAACTGGGGGATTGTTTCTCTGGGATCCAAGCAAGGAAGAGTGCCCAGAGGCCCATACAAGCAACTAGGCTCACTTACCCACCTGGCACTCATGCCCTGAATTCATGTCTATGCTGCTGTTTAAGATGTTACACTTGCAAGTTCTAGCGTTCTAACCAAGTTTAACTGCTTTCCTGAAAGAAAAAAGGGTTGCCCATTCCTACCCTGCTCAACTCACCTTGACCAAGAAAAAGGACACCCCGTATGTCCGGAGGGACCTGGCGAGTTTCACGTACTTGACCTTGGCTTCTATTTCACTCATCTCACCACAGTTTTTATGTTCCTGTAAAAGCGACAGTGGGGTTGTGGGGTCTGTTAATGCAGCTCTGCTGTCAGGTAGACTTGTTGAGGCGCATACAGGTGAGGTGTACAGGGGTCATGAGTAGTAGTGATGCTTAGGCCTGAGATCCTCCCCACACCCTATAACACAGGTGTCTGCTGACTGAGGAATAGAGTGCATAGGAAGTTCAAATGCAGGGCTTTACCAACTAGAGCTTGAACTCAAGAGGACTAAGGCTGAGTGCAAGGATTCATGCCCATGTGCAGCAGGGCAGAAGCAATGCCCATAATCACAACCAAATTCTTAAAGGACTCCATATTCCCAAAGGCTCAGGCCCCATACTTTAAACAATAGCCCAAAAGATGTTCTTCAAAGCACATATGTCATTCTAACATCTGTTCAAAATAGCTCCTTTCCATACAGTAAGGTATATACATGCCTGAACATGGCAGTGCTTAGAAACAGTATTGGATAAAAATGTTTTATGGGGCTGGTGAGATGACTCCGTGGTTAAGAGCATTGACTGCTCTTGCGGAGGACCCACATGGCGGATAACAACTGTTTATAACTCCCCTCTAGGGCATCCAATGCCCTGTTCTGAACTTAGCAAGCATTGGAAGACATGGGTGCACCTACATACATGCAGACAATATACTCATACACATAAAATAAAAAATAAAAAATAAAAATGTTTTATATACATGCAGTTTGCATTTTAGGTTCTATTTCCATTTTAACATCAAAGAAACCTGGGATCTTAGATTCACTAGACTGTTTCACAGTCAAGTTGATGGCAGGGCTTTTCCTAGTGACTTTTAAATAATCCTGGATTTTAAAAAGGCACCAGCAGTCCAATTCTAGCTTCAAAAACCAAATCTCAGGATAAAGAAGCTCCTTGTAGCTTCTATTCCAGTGTAGGTTAAATGGTCTATCACCTGGTTTCAGTGCTTCCAGAATAATGCCTTTGAAATTAAATGTATGCACATCTTTCTCAGAAAAGCTAAGTAACCTTTACCAAGAAAGTGTGGATTAAGATAATAAATCTGTCCAAAGCAGAACTGTCAGTTTCTTTTCTCTTGAAGCACTGATCATTCATTATATAAGAATACATGCACAGGGCACAAAACTACCTTGTGTAGGAGGCAGTATGTTCAAATGAATGAGGACAGTGAGGAGAATAATAAATTTCTATACGATTCTGATACCTGAAATATTCTCTTCTCAGCTCCTCTCTGCTTGATGTATTCTTTGGGTAGAAATTCTTTTAGACTGAGAGAGAGAAGAGGGAAAAGTACAACATTTATCATGTTCTGTGACGGGAAGCAAAGAAAGAGACTGTTAATAAAGCTCATAGTTAAGTCACTAGCACACTAATATTTTATGATGCAATTAATATCAGGGTGCAATATCCTATGTCACATGAAATATAGACTCAGTAAGACCAGTCTGATAAAAAAAAGGTCAAATCAAGTATTTGAAGAGCTCCATATACTGTAAACAGAAAAAGAAAAAAAGGAACAATGTCTAAGAAAAGAAAGGAAATATTTTATCTTTAAAATATTATTTTACAGGGCTGGAGAGATGGCTCAGCAGTTAAGAACACTGGCTGTTCTTGCAGAAGACCCTGGTTCGAATCCCAGCACCCACATGACAGCTAACAACTGTCTGTAACTCCAGTTCCAGGGGATCCAACAGCCTCTTCTGTCCTCCGCAGGCATTGCACAACACGGGTGCACTTATCTAAGTACAGGCATAACACTCATACATATAAAATAAAAATAATAAAATATTTAAAAATATTATTTTACATTGGCTACACATGTTAAAAAATACCAGGAGGATAAGACTAATACTAATGAAAATGGTTTTCCATGCGAAGAAAGCAAGCACAAGGAGGGACAGGATGAAACTGGGTTCCAAAACAATCCTGCTACAATTTCTCACTTAGAAAACACAAGAAACTGCAATAAAGCAAGCGCTAAAACTCTAAAGCAAATTGGTAGAAACCTAACAGTACATCATGTTGACACAATTACTACAAGGACAATAATTTCTGCAAGTAACTTTGAAAAACAGTCTTTCAGTCATACATTACCAGTGAACTATATATTAAAGGGAAGTGAACCACCAAAGGCATGTAAATAAAAACACTGATGGGAATATTTAAATTTTATTATTTATTCATTTATTATGTGGGTGTACACATGATCTATGCATGGGTCTGCGTGAATTGGTGCATGTGTGGAGATCAGAATACAAATTTCTAGACTCTGTTCTCTCTTTCTACCTTTACATGAGCTAGAGGATGACCTTCTCATCAAAACCTTAGGAAAAGATCCCATTTTATTCAAGATTCAGTGACTCCCAGTGAGTCATCCAAGGTCACAGTGACAGGTTTGTCATTTGAACATTCCAGAGACATTTGCTTACTTAGGCCCTGCACCTAATACCTTCAACTTCCCCTTTAATCATACTGCATCCCAAGAGATCAGAATTCTAAACCCTGCAGAGAGGAGAGGAAAGGTAGTAAACACCCTATAGCAACACAGTGGCATGTGATTTTTTTTTTTTTTAATGCTCAGAATCCCCTGGAATCAGAGAAGAGGAATTTATTAACACACAAGGGAGTAGGAACTTAATTCAAACCTAGCTATTCACTAAAACTGCATTGTATTTCCTTTTAAGGACAAGTTTCAATTTTTATTTTTATTGTTTACATTCGAAGGTAAAAAAATGATGATTTTTATATACAGACATCCTGAAATGATGACTGTAGTCAGGCAAATGAGCATAACATCTCATTCTCATTCTCTCTCTCTCTCTCGTGTGTTTGTGTGTGTGAAAAGTACCTAAAATCTCTCTTAGCTAATTTCTAGTTCACAATATTAACTAGGGTCCTCATGTGGTACATTTGACTTTTATAGACTTATTTATCCTAATTGCAATTACATTCTTTGACTTCCATTCTCCTCATGTCTACCTTGGAAATCATCTTTCTACTGTTCCTATCTGCTTTCTTAATTCCACGTATAAATGAGATCATCCTCCCTCACCTTCCAACCCCATCTCTCTCACCTCCCCCTTCTCTGGAAAGGAACAAACCAAGGACATTGCACATAGTAGGTAGGTGTTCTGCTACCGAATTACATTCTCTGCTCTCAAAATGCAATATTTCATTTTCTCTGTCTTGCTTATTTCATTTATTATAATATTCTTTAGATTCATCCATGTTACCAAACACGTAGAAACTCGTTTAAGCTGAATAGTATTACATTGCATAGATACTAAAACCTCATTTTCTTATATAAACTTTAAGCTGCCTATTCTAGTAATCCCAACAGAAAAGTCTCAAAGTTGTTTCCAGGTGTGGCAATACAAGTACATGGTAAGCCACTCCTGCTGGGGAGAGCACCTATTCCCATATGTCTCAGAGCTGCCCTCAAAGGGGCATAACCATATGTAACTCACCACCTCCAAACTGGTTTTATAACCTAAAACCCAAAGAGGACTGTTACTATTTACATGAATTAACAAGGACAGGTCCCAATTCATGAGTAAGGGCATCAGTATGAGCATACAGAGATGTGACGTGTCCACCAAGCAGAAGGTACAGGAGTAGAAGAGAGACGGATGCAGTGGAGACAGAACCCCAAAAAGATACTGGGGACCAGTTTTGTTTTAACTCCAACATTTATGTTTAATCACCAAATGATTAACAATATTATCTCCAATTGGTATCCCAGAAGTTTCTCTCTCTCAGTGAGGTCCAGGACCAGCAGAAATAGCACAAGGAACCTGCTAGAATGATAATTTTTACCTCATCTAGACCTGCTAAGAGGCTCTGTGGGCAGCCTGTGTTATCAAGCCCACTAGATGGTTCTGAGGGAGATGAAGGAACCACCAGCAGTGGGGAAGAAGCTCAAATTACAAATACTTTGATTTGAGTCCTGACTCAAAAACCACAGTCTATGTAACAGAGTCCTGAGTGAGCTCTGGAGGCTTGTGGTGAAGACATGGGGGGAAGGAAGCCCTGACTGAGCTGAGAATGCCTGGGATAGTCACAAAAAGTGACCATCCTAAGACGAGGATGAGGATGGATGTAGGCTCCATCTGCATGTGCTGAAGCAATGCAACACCACAGCCTAGGTCATCTGCAAAGAACAGAAACTTGCCTCTCAATAGTATTGTAGGCTAGAACGTGTGACATCAAGGTGATATCATCATCAGGTTCAGTCATCTGCAAAGGGCTGCATCCTCCAGAGGAGATGAGCAAGCTAGCTGAATACTGCCTAGGCACCTTTATAAGGGCCTTGATGGAATCCATGAGGCCCCATCTATGAGTTCTTCGTGGTCCCATGACCTCTGGAAGATCACTCTTATTAAGTCTATCCCAAGGTGTGCTGAAAAGCTGCAGTTGTCAATTTGACACGCCTGGGAAGAAGGAACCTCAATTGAGGCACTTCTCCATCAGACTGGCCTGGGTCCAGGTCTGTGAAGCATTTTCTCAATTGCTCGTTGATGTGGAAGGGCCCAGCCCACTGTTGGTGTGCCACCCCTGGGCAGATGGTACTGGGTTCTAAAAGAAAGTCTAGGCACAGACCAAAAGAAGCAATGTTCCACTATGGTCTGTGCTTCAGTTCCTTCCTCTAGGTTCCTACCCAGAGTTTCTACCCTGGCTTCCCTCAAGGATGAAGTGTGATCAGGACATTTTAGCCAAATAAACCCTTCCTCCCCAAGTTATTTTTGGATAGAGTGTTTTTATCACAAAACTAAAGAAGGAAAGTAGAACACAAGGGCAACACCAGAATTGGGGGGGGGGTATTCATTCAACCACAGCAGTATGGGAGAAGTCTGGGAATTGGGTCTGAAGACCCAATCTATGCTGACCTCAGTTGTTCTATGACCTGAAACTAATCTGAATACCCTTCAGAGCCCAGAGCCAGCTCTAGGCAGGATAAATACAGAACTTGCTTGTCTGAAATGTCCTGAGTTTGGAAGTCATTAGACTTAAGGGCAGGGCCTTTAAGAGGCAGAACGAGGAGCTGACACTAAAGGCAGTGCTGACTGGTCATCATATCCCTAGTCTGGCAGGAGAGCTCTAGGCTGTGAGAGCCACAGAACAGGTACAAATGACAAGAAAAGTGTAGAAAAGTACCTTTCATTGTATTTCACTTTTAATTTAGTGGGACGGCAATGGTGAATTACAGGGGGGCAAGACACAGCTGATGAAAAGCCCAGGTTTCAGGCTTCCTCCATGGGTAGTTTGAAAACAGAGATTCTAGCCAAATGATTCCACAAAAGCACACATAAAACCAATGCTGAAGGGGGAAAGACATGTTTGAACTGAAGCCAGCTGAAAAACAGATTCAAGACATCCTACTGTGCCAAGAGTTTTGCTTGTTGACAGTAGAATTATCTTGAGTTTGTGGGGGAAATTTTCCAAGTCCACTCTGAATTCTTTCAGAACAGATTCATGTCCTGGGTTGCTCTGTTTTCTCAGTAAATACTTGCCTAGAATAGCCACACAGGGAAAGGGAGCTCCAGTAAGCATAAATAAGAGACACTTCTTCTGCTAGTTAACCTGCCTGCCTGCCCTCAACCACTGAACACTGTCTTCATACAGAGGTATAGAACCTTCTGGCCTTGCCTGAATACCTAGTATTTTCACCTTTGCCACCTGCTCTATATCCAACCTCAACAAGTAGAATATATAGGCTCCCATCTCCAGGGCAGAATACTGCAACTATATTTTGAAGATAGAGGTTAATTGTGAAACAGTTTAAATTATAGAAAAGTTTATACCTCATAATTTATATCCCTACCACCAAGAAGCACCACATTTGCTCTATTTGTGTGTGTGTGTGTGTACTTGAGTGTTTGTATGCATGGCGGCCAGAAGAGGGCATCAGGTGTCCTGCTCTATCACTCTTTGCCTTATTCCTTTGATAATATGGGGTCTCTCAATAAACCTGGAGGTAGGCTGGCAGCCAATAGACCCCAGCTATCCTCTTGTCTCCTCCCCCATTACAGACCACACCCAACTTTTTACATGGTTGCTGGAGATTTGAACTCAAGTCCTCAGGCTTGTGCGGCAAGCTTTCTTTCCCACTAAGCCATCTCTCCAAGCCCCATATTTGCTCTATGAGGGCTATGCTCATCATATTAAATGAGTTAAGGATTTAGATGGAATTCGATGTTCATTAACTCTCTCTTCTTTCTGAGACAAGGTCTTACATAGCCCAAGCAGTCCTCAATCTTGACACGGGCCA